CAGTCAAATGCCTTAGGCACTATGCTACCAGAGCTCCTATATATATATATATATATATATATATATATATATATGTACTATATATGTAGAGAGAGAGAGAGAGAGAGAGAGAAAGAGAGAGAGAGATAAGAAAATCACTTAAAACAGTGATGATTAGGAAACACTTCATGGAGAATGGAACAGGTGAGCTGATGGGTTTGATTTTTTTCAGAGAGAAAGTGGCAGCAATAATTGTGCAGGCAAGGGAGTCCATGAACAAAGGCTAGTGAAAGTTAGTGGGAGAGACTGTAGTGTTTGTATGGAAATGAAAGTTCCTGTGGCTGGGATACTGGGTGTGTTGAGCAGAGGGTGAATGGTAAAGCTGGAAAAGATGGCTTGCTGTAAATTGTGGAGGGGCCTTAAAAGTGAAATAGAGCGTTTAACTATGAATTGCATCTCTTGGCTGTCTTATATCCCTGCATAGTTCAGGCAAGAATGTCCAAAGACAGGATAATATGCTCTGCTACATTTATTTGTAAATTTAAATTCCCCACTTTTGCCAGACAGCGTTATATACACCACATAATAGTACTACAAATGTTTAATAACTTGTGATGCAACAGTTAAGTGCTTGGCTCCTAACCGAAAAGTTGGTGGTATGAAGCCACACAGCTGCTCTGTGGGAAGAAAGAACTGGCAATCTACTCATGCAAAGACTACAGCCTGGAAAACCCTAAAGGGTTTCCCTGTCACGTGAGTTTGCCAAGAGTCTGAATGGGCTCGATGGCACATAACAACAACAACAACAAAATGTGCAATGCTTTAAACTGGTGCACGGTGTGGCAGATGGAGAGTCCACAGCAACAACACTGAACTGGTCTTCAGATCCCCTGGGATCTTGTATTGACTGTGCTTTCCAATAAGTAACTTTAATTTATTTCCTTGAAAAAGGGTGGGACATCTGAGGACTGAATTATGTGATGGCTGAGGACCCTTTCCACTCAGGAATTCTTGATTCTGTGATAATTTAATAGTTCAAATCACAAATGACACAGTTAATGGGCCATTTGTAGACTTTTCTTTGTGGTTGTAGAATTTCAGTAAATCACTGGCCATTGGAAAATATTAAGCATAAACCAAAATCACACTCACTGCCATTGAATCGGTTCTGACTCATAGCAATCACCCTTTGGGTTTCCAAGGTAATATCGCTATGGAAGTAGATTGCCCAACCTTCCTTCTGAGGAGTGGCTGCTAGGTTTGAACCTCCAGCCTTCTGGTGAGCAGTCAAGTGCCTTAGGCACTACACCACCAGAGCTCCTAATGTTAAGCATGGTAAAGAAAAATATCTGAGGCAAGAAGAACAAAGATAATTCTTGTATCTTTCCTGACTATCAACTGCACACAGATTGAAGAGCTGACCAGCAACCTGCCACAGCTGCAGTCTCTGTCCAGTAGCACATCTTCTGTGGACAGCATCCTCAGCTCAGAGACCGCCAGCCCCCCCAGCAAGCGGAAAGTGGCCACCAAGGCCCAGGGAAGTGCTAAGAAGGCTTTACTAAAGTGGGTCCAGTACACGGTAACCAAGTAAGTACCGAGCTGAAGTACCAAACCCTTCAATAATTTGAGTTGTCTATTATTAATAATTGCACCTTGCAATGATCGCAAACTTCGAAGACAAGTGAACGAATTACCTTGCTTTAGCTTTTGTTTCACTCTTTCTCTGAACTAAAATATAAACACAAATCACCACTAATACACCAGGAAAATACTGTAATAAAATTAACTCCCTTCTTCATTCTTCATTGAGGTGATTGGGCCTGATAAATTAAGTCAGTTAATCCCTAAACTTCGATTAGTAGCAAGAGGGCTGCTTCCATCTAGATCATTGGCTGAAGTTTTTCTCCAATGAATTAATATTTTCAGCAATAAATGAGGTTCAAACTTGTGTATTTCTTCATCAGACCCTTAGGTTCTATTTAATAATAATGTAAACTAAGCTTCAACTTCTAAAAGAATGATATTTGGTCTTACTTCCTGAAGGTTTTCTAGTAAAGTTGGTTTTTAATTGTTTCTCCTTAGTTGTGTCTTTTATCTAGAATATAGTTTCCTTTTCTCAACTCTAGGTTTATGGGCTGAAGATTTGCTTCTCGTTTCAGTTTCTACCAAACTTAATGAAATGCCATGTATACATCTATGGCGTGATGCTGGAGAGAAAATCACTACTCTGGACTACCACTTGTAGCAATTCCCATGCAGGTGTTAATTGAGCATTTGTTGTTGTTATGTGCTCTCCTCACCAACTCATAGCCACCCCTCCTTGGGTTTCCAAGGCAGTATCATTACCAAAGTAGATTACCCAACCTTCCTTCCAAGGAGTGGCTGGTAGGTTTGAACCACTAGCCTTCTGGTCAGCAGTCAAGTGCCTTAGGCACTATGCTACCAGAGCTCCTTTAATTGAGCATACTGGTGTTTTTTGGCCAGTAGCAAAGCTGCTTCACATAGAAGCTGTGTGGGTTGTTTGTTCTGCAAAAAGACACGAAAGATTGACTCACTTCAGATCTTGTTTTGCTCACCTAGATTTGAATCTGATTCTCTACTTCTGGAAAACAGTTGTAAACATGTTTTATCAGTATAAATAGGGAGTCCTATTTTCAAAGCATTTGAATAACAAAATGAAGGAGAGAAAGTATAGTAATTAGTGTTACTAGTATATACGGAAATTGTATTTGGCCTTTAAAGTGTGTAGGTGGTTTTCTAATTGGGGGTATATTTGTATGACTCAAGGTGCAGTCAAGAATATTTTTGAAAGCAGAGCAATGTGGCTCTTCGGAGTCGGTAGTAGGAATGAAATGAAAAGCCCTTCCCACATTGCTGGTACATTGTTTGCATTCTGTCTCCAGGGGGCATCACTAATCCCTCATGCAGCTGAAATGGGCAGTGAGTGAGAGGGAGGGGCTCAGTAGGAGGGACTGGTGACCAAATGGCATGGCCTTTGTCATGATGCTGTTGTCATCGGACTATAAAAATGTCGATGTGATGAGTATTCTTTCGTCCGTTGCTTCACACAGCGTTACATTAACCAGTATTGAATTGATGTCCATTTAGTGTTGTAGGGAGAGCAGTGGTGGTTTGGAGGTAGAATTCTCACCTTTCACTCAGGAGACCTGAGTTTGGTTCCAGCCAGTGTACTTCAAACACAAGGTCAATGTACTTGACCTGTCTGTCAGTGGAGGCTTGCATGTTGCCATGATACTGAATAGGGTTCAGCAGAGCTTCCAGACTGAGATGGACTAGGAAGAAGGGCCTAGGGAACTACTTGTGAAGATTAACCAGTGATAGCCCTGTGGATCATGAGTCTGATCTGCAGGCGATTGTGGGGACAGTGCAAGATTGGGCAGCGTTTAGTTTCATTTTGCTTGGGGTCACCAGGGCTGATTTGATGACAGCTAATAATAACAGCATCAGATGGTACCTTGAGATAAACTCAGATGTAATGCTCTTGTCATCTTTTATTTCAGATTTTCACTCATGGTGTACTGGGTTTCAGAGGTGGGTCTTATGTGTGACAGCTCAAAGTCATTCCTATAACCTGCATATAGGTAGCATCATTTTAGTTTGTATTTTCTTGATCTATGCAAATGTTCAGATTCATGGAGCTGAAGGTCTTCTGTCCATTAACTTATCAATGAAATCCATTTATTTTAAAGTTGTAAAAGTTATGGAGGGTTGAGGAGATAACTAAAATGAAAATTCTATAATGAATTATGCTTCCTAATTATTGATAATTCTTCTCAAAGATGCTTAATACATTATCCAGGTGTGTACTTTGCAAACAACTTCTCATTTGACATAGATAAGACTAGAGAGGCTGTACTTGGTTCAGTATATGACATTGTTCCTAAAGTTATAATCTTCTGTATGACTCTGTAGTCTGAAAAGTCAGCAAACTCACAAGAATGAAGAAGTAAGTGAGAAAGGATGACATCTCTAGTAAACACCAGAAAAGTGATCAGATGTATTACTGTATGTGAATGTATTCACTGTTTTCATGAAAGTTTTAAAATATTTGAGGATAAGTAAATTTTAAAAAAGAATAAAACTGTTTCAGTAACAGGAAACAGTTTTATTTATTTATTACCAGTTTCATCTAATCAATACACAGTCTCAGAACCTACATCATTAAATTGTAGTGTAGCTGACATTTGCACACCTTATTGGCAAATACCACAGTCATGTGTAACCTGATATATAATGCTCTCCTTAGACCCTTGCAGATTTGCTGATACATACATAATAATTCTTGTTAGGTGCCATCCCTTTTGACTCATCACCACCCCTGTGACAGAATAGAACTGCCCCACAGGACCTTCTAGGGAGTAGATACTTAGGTCTTCCTCCTGTGCAGTTGTTGGGTGGATTTGCATCTTCAACCTTTCAGTTAGCAGCTGAGTACTTTACCATTGTGGCATCAGACTCATTCAAAATAACTTGAAGTAAACATGTATTAGAGGTCAAAAATGCCTACAATCCAGACATATTTTATCAGTTCTTTAAGTTTATATCTAAGAATATTAAATAAGAGGTGTGAGCTAAAACATTTTTAGGAATATTAACTACTATGTTTGTTCTAATAAGAACCAGTACATGGATCCTGAACACGTGTACAAAGAACAGATATAGGAGAAAGAAAATGTACTGCAATCTCTTTAATTATTCCAACATAGCACATATTTAGGGAAACATTTTATGCTTTTCTTTTGTAAAATGCCTAAAAGAATAATCTAGTTCAAAGCATTAAGAGAGTAATATGTGATGAATACTGATTAGCTTAGTGTTGATTTACAATCCCCCTTATTCCGTTAAAAAAAATATTTCTAAGTGGCTTAAAAAATGTATAGTACAAACATGTCTTTAAATAAACAAATGTGGAAAAACGCAGCTAGAAATGTAAGATGAAACCAGAGGTCAATATACAAATGCATTGATAATAGAGAGATGCTTATTGGTCACCAGGCATGGAGATCTGTCAGAGGGATGGCTGAAGACAATGACATCTGTACTAGCAGAGATAGAAACTCTAAAAGAACTAAGAGAATATGCAAGATCATTTTATAATTACTGTACTTGAAAAAAAACTTTTGTAAGGACATTGATTTATAAAGCCAATGATTAAGTATAATGAGGCAATTGTGGTACTCAGTTTTATGAAAACTGAATGTACATTAATAAAGATTATTTAGAGTGAACCTGAAGTATTCTGAGATAAAATTTAAAGACATTTATCAACTTATTATATTATTCAGTACAGGTAGTCCCCAGCTTACAATGTGGTTCCTTTCCAATGACTGTTTTAAGTTGGTTCTGATGTTAAGTTGAATACCTAATTTTTTTAAGTTTTCATTATCATTGACTTTTATTATCAGTATCTTAATACATCTGATCTTATTTGTCTTTGGTGGTTGGGAACTCACTCAAAAACTCACTGTCGTTGAGTCGGTTCCAACTCATAGTGACCCCTCCTTGGGTTTCCGACACGGTATCTCCATGGAAGTAGATTACCCAGTGTTCCTTCTGAGGAGTGGCTGGTGGGTTTGAACTTCCAGCCTTCTAGTTAGCAGTCAAATGCCTTAGGCATTATGTCACCAGAGCTCCTTGGTTGGGAACATTTTATATATACACACACACACACACACACATACACATACACACACATTATATATAAATTTATGGCTATATTTTCATATATACATAAAAATACATAAATTATAAAAATGTATTCCAATGATGAAGAATAGTTGAATGACATTGGCATTTTCTCAGTTTTGGTGATAACTCCAGTTGCGGAAAGTCCTAGATCATCTGGATTATTAGATTATCTTTAAATTAGATTATCTCTAGTCAGAAAATTATCAGAGGTGTTAGTAGGGTGCTTTTTTTTTTCTTCATACATTTTGTGATATTATCTCACTGCTTTGCAAATCTGCCTATCAACTTTAGCAAAGTGATTAGTGTTTGGTTCCTTGTTTTCAAGCAATTGAGTCCCCTTATTTAGTTTAGAATGTTGTTATGTGCTGTCGAGTTGGACCTGACTCATAGCGACACCTCCTTGGGGTTCCGAGGCAGTTATCACTATGGAAGTAGATTGCCCAAC